TTGGGAGGGAAACACATGGTCTGCTGACTCCTTACTTTCTTTTCTGGACCAACCTTCAGCCAAGATGATCTCCAAACTGCCATTTGACAGAACTTAGGAAGACAAGCGGGTGATTGCAGTCAAATCTAATCAAAGCATCACCAAAACTATATATTCAAACTTTACAATTGGGAGAATGTGCCTTGGGGGGAATGTCTCTAGAATAAGTATCTCACACCATTTATGTCTTTCTTTTGCTGGAGAATTTTTCATAAATTGCTCCCAACTGATGATATAATGAAGCTTAAGGGCTTGAAAGGGCCATCCATCTATCAATTGTGTAAGGAAGAGGAGAATCTATAAGTCATATTTTCTTTGGCTGCAAATTCTCCTAAGAAGTATAGAATTTTCTTATACATCATCTGAAGGTAAATACAATGAATCTGGAGTGGCTAAATATTCTTGAATGTTGGAGTGGCAGGATGAGTATTAAATTACGCCCAATCCCCTTCATTATCGCTTGGCTTCTTTGGGCTGCCAGAAATCAAATAAATTTAGATGAGATACCTGCTACTTCAGGCAAGGTGGCTGCCAATTGCTTAGCTTTTATTAGTAAGCTTATCCATTTAAAGAAGTTCCCTAACATCCTAAGAACTACTAAAACTGCTGGACAAAGGACTTTTTCTGTGATTAAAGACACAAGGCTTTTAGAGATAGGTACAAGGAGCCCACTCACAAGGTATACAACTCACTCAAGAAATTATTTAAGAAATTACAAGTATACCACAAAAAATAAAAACCCAAGTAATTATTATTCCTAAAAAAGAAGCAACGGTTGGCAATAACACCAAAAACTACATTCACAATAACGCCCTAAAACTACCAAAATAATCCCCTAATAACCCCAAGAATACGACCAGAAAAACAAAGGCAGAGACAAAATATTAATGGATATTCTTCCTCAATTCAATATAGATTCTTTTTTCTACCTTAATATTTTTCTCTACTTCAAATCTATCTGAACCCCCCACCGACCCCCCCCCCCCCTTTTTTTTAATTTTCTTTTCCTTTGACAGTTATTTTTATCTCCTCTTTTTTTTTAACTTACTAGAAACCATCCTAAGATGAAGGGCATCTAAGTTAACCGCGAGCAAGAGAAAAGCGAGAGGAGGAGGAGAAGAAGAATTAACAATGACAGTTTCAAGTTGCTTACCCATTCTAGCTAACCAATCAGCAAGCTTGTTTCCTTCTCTTTGAAGAAAAGTAAACTCTAACTGGATTTGTGAAACAATAGTTTTGATGTTGCTAATTGAGTGTATAAGAAACCAAGAAGTGTCTTCCTTATCTTCCAGGATCTGTGAGAGGAGGAGAAGAATTAACAATGACAGTTTCAAGTTGCTTACCCATTCTAGCTAACCAATTAGCAAGCTTGTTTCCTTCTCTTTGAATAAAAGTAAACTCTACCTGGATTTGTGAAACAATAGTTTTGATGTTTCTAATTGAGTATATAAGAAACAAAGAAGTGTCTTTCCTATCTTCCAGGATCTGTAAAAGTACCATAGAGTCTATTTTAATCTATAGATATTTCTAAAGTGTACATGTATTTATGTATGTATGTATATATGTATATATATATATATATGTATGTAT